GATTTTTTTTTTAAGCTGTTAATTTTGTGGTTTTTGCCTGCATAAAGACTGCAGGATCAGACCCTATGCAGAGAGAATAAGGCACTTTGGAAAGAGACAGCCATGCTCATCCTGTTATTTATTCGACTTTTTTTTTTGTTGTTGTTGCTAATAATCGAGACACGAATAGTCTCAGTTGATCAGTATTAAATCGGGGAATCTCTGTTGGCAATATTTGCCATATAGATTTTTGTTTTTTAGTTAACCTTTGTAAATTTTAAACCGATCGTGGTCTCTGTGTAAAGACAATCCTCCATATGTTTTTATAGAAATATATATATAATGAAGGATTATTCCCCTCCCTCTCCCTCTCTATTTTTTTCTCCCTGGCGTTGTACAGTTCCGTGACACCTATTTTAATTCTTTCTGCACTGTATAAAATTGTAATTATGTGGGTTTGTTTTTTGTTTTTGTTTTTTTTTTTTTTTTCGCCCTGCCCTTTTGCGTACGTTTTGTCCCTAAAGGAAAAAAAAAAAACCTAAATAAAACATGTATGTTATTTGTACATGGGCTTCACGATTGTATGAGCAGCAAATAAACGAGCATGCGGTGTAACAGGCGTAATTATATCTGAGGAGTCCGCGGAGCGCGGAGGGGCCGCGCAGCGCCCGGCCCGGCCCCGCAAACCTTCGGGCGATAATTCCCCGTCTCGGTGCAGACTCAAAAAGGACTTTTTTGTGGCTTTTTTGCGGCTTCCGCGGAGTCCCGGTTACTCATTTCCCCGCGCGGAAATATTTCAAATGAGGATATTGAAACGAAGGAGGAAAACCGGAGGTGATTTTTATTTTTATCTTTTAATTCTTCTGATTATTATTTCATTTTTTCCCCTCCAAGAAGAAAGCGAAAGGCGGTGTTTGACAGCTCTTTGCCTCTCACTCGGAGTCAAGGCGTGTGGCTGCAGGGATGGAGCCCGCGGCTCCTTGCCTCTCCTCCTCCGTCCCAGGGGGACACGGGCATTTTCCAAGCCGCGCATCCCTGTGGAATCTCCGAGGGCTACAATAGCGGTCGCGGCTGGGAGAGCACTGAAACTTCCCGCGGGGTTTTCCCCGCGGGAAAAAGAAATAAAAGTTAATAAAGTTTAAGAAAATTATGAAAAATTAATAAACAGGAATAAAAAGAATAAAAATCAAGCAGATTAACTCCTGCACCATCTCTGTCCCGCTCTGGGCAGCGATAAATAGGTATTTTCCTGCTAAATTTGGCAGTGTTTGGTCTAATTGTGGATACTACAGAATCCAGGAATTTTTGTGCCTCAATTTGTGGGCCAATATGTCTCTATCAATGCTCATACTATGGATATGAATGCATATGAAAAATAGATGCAGGCGAATTAATCTGATTACTTGGTTGTGTATTTCTGTCTTTATATATGGACACTTAGTAACTGCACTAATTAGCCCAGATCCGTGTAATCAACTTGATTAAAAGCAAAGGGTTTTTTTTTTTCTGGAACAACAACCAACAAATTTGAAATATTATTTTAATTAAGGCAGGCGGGAATAGCTTTATTAGAGTTGGTGGAGGCCTTTCTCACAGTGGGGTTTTTTGTTGTTTTGTGGGTTTTTCTGAGAAGGGTTGTGGGGTTTCAAGGTGCTGGGGGCTTTTTGTTGTTGTTGTTGTTTGGGTGGGTTTTTTAAATCTCTTTTTAGATCTCTTTAAGATACTGGTAATCTACCTGCAGTATTCCTTGGTTTCCTCTGTTTTTATACCTTTCTGGGTTGATCCCTCCCTCCATCGCTGCCCATCCCTGTTGGAGGTGAGCACAATGTTACCATCCTTTTTAAATACAAGCCAAAAACAGAGGGGTTTTTGCCCCTGAAGCAAATATCTGCACTAGGTGTGGCTGAGATAAAGGTCCAGGGTTAGGAGTTCAGTCTCTGCCAAGCAGTTCTTCTTTCCTTGAAATCTCACTGTCACTCCTAAGCTTCATTTTCATCCTTTGGATTAATATTGGACTCACTCATTGGCACATTGAGCTGATACCAGGTTGGAAGGGGCAGAGAGGCACTTTGCAAGCCTCAGGCCCAGCTCAAAGAGGTTTGATATCTGGTCCCCAACAAAGGTTGACATGATTCATTTTTCTCCCTCCCGTCGTTTTCCAAACCTGGAAAAACAGAACCACCACATACCATGGACGCCACATATTCCTCAAGCCAGTGAGCGCAGTCTAAACAGGCAGCTCTCCATCTCAGACACCCACATCAGGGAGCAGAGCCTGAAACCTCACAGGCTTCTGCCCCCAGCCCTTCATCTGCACAAGACCAGCTTGATTTTTCCCAGTGTATATTGTCCCGTGGGGTGGCAAATCCCGAGCTGCTGCCACAAGCGGTGCCTTTGTACAAGCTCCAGGAGCAGTTGGGTTCTGGGAGGAGGTGAGGAGGAATAAACTTGCTCAGAGAGGCTGTGGGAGCCCTGTAAGAGGAGATGAGCCACGGGCTTGCTCGGAAATGTGGTATTTGCTCCTGTAACAGCCCAGATCTGGTTGTGCTCAGGTGCTGTGGCTCAGCTCAGAGATCTGCTCCCTGCTCCTTGTTGCCCACATCCCAGTCTCTAGGTGACACAACACAGTTTTCTTTGGGGTTTTGGCATTTCTACTGTAGGAAATAGTTTCTCAACATGGGTGCCCTGTGCAGGCCCAGGAGTTTTCTACAGCGATGACATTTCAGAGCATGACGAGAAGCAGGACCTGGTGTCTCCAGCTGGGTTGGATTCCAGATGTCCCCCTGGATCAGGGGACATGGGGGTCTCTCAGGTGTGCTGTGCCCTGGGCCGTGCCCTGCCATGGTAGGGATCCTGATGGTGAGGCACTTCCCTCTGATCCTTCCAGGATGCTTCTCCCCATCCTTGCAAGGCCACCATGGAGCTGGAAGTCCACGTTTACCTCTGTCACCTGCCCGTGTGTCCCCAGGGGTGTTTATGTCCCTAAGGCACATGGTCCTTTGTGGGAGCAGGACTTGGGGAATTGTGGGATGCTGCAGGGATACCAAGGTAGGGAGATGCCCTGCAGAGCCCCTGGAAGAGGAGATGTGGGGCTGGGTCTGCTGTTGGAGGGGGACACAATTTTGGGAGGGCCCATGGGCACGATCTGAGGCCCTTTCTGGGAGGCAGCATGGGGGTAGGAATGTTATGGAGGGGTCTCCTGGGGAAGGGGGATTTGAAAGTATCCGGGGGAATTGGAGGGATTCCAGAGGTTGGAGGCATTTAGGGGAGTTTGGAGGGATCCCGGGAGGATTGGAGGGGTGCCCAGAGGGGGCATTGGAGGGATCCCGGGGTGGGTTTTGGAGGGGTCCCGGGGTACCCGGGCCGGGGGGGCCGCACCGTTCCCTTGGCGGCAGCACCATCTGGCGGCAACAAACCGGCACCGCCCGCACCTCGTCCCCGCTCCCGCCTGGCCGCGGGTTTCCCCAAAATTTGGGATTAAAACCCGGCCGGTTCGGGCGGTTTTGGACCTTTTCTCCACGGGCTGGGTGTTAAAAGTTTGCTTTCTTTCTTTAATTATTGTATTTTTATTTTTTTTGTATTTTTATTATTTTAATCTCTTCTTAAAGTTTATTTAGTTCGGTTTTAATTTTCCCTTTTGGCATCTGGAGCTCTGAAGGGGAATATCCCTTTATCTCATCTTCAGATGTATTGGCTGTTGAATACACCTGGTGGAACTCCTTTATGGTATATTTGTGGATCAGATCTGTTCCACACCCAGGTGAGACAGATCGGGATACTTGGCATGGGATAGAATGGACTATCCCATGGATACAGACACCTGGCACATGATGCTCTTGGATGGGATTGGTTATTCAGATCTGCAGAAAACTCGGTACCTTGGAGACTTAACTGGTGGGAACAAACACCTGGAATCTTAAATGGGTATTTGGAATACCAGGTGATGAGTTTGGTACCAAGATCTTAGCAGGTTAAAGGCTTAGATCCATAAAAAGTAGGTGCCTGATTTCTCCCTCAAACCCAAGAAATTTGCGACCTATGTACTCAGGGTATCTGGGAAACAGTTCTTGTCACTTTTGCAGAGGGGAATTTGATTTCTGTGTCACTGAAATGCTTCTGGGTGACCACACCTGAACATTTGTTCCGTTCCCAAGCATATTTACAAGTGTAACTGCTGCCTGACGCTGTGCAGGAAAAGGCAGCACTAGGACACTCCTGTGGGCTTTGCATTTCACATCTCTGCCAAAAAAATCTTTGCCATGTGGAGTCATCCTCAGGGAGAAAACACCTGATGCAGGTGGGCTGGCTAAAGGACCCCCCCGAGGAGCAGGAGATGCCCCAAGTGCCAGCAGCTCTGTGGTTGTGAGCTGATGTTATTCATAGAAACAATTATCAGATTGGCTCAAGAAGTGAGGAAAGGCATGTGGCTCTGTTGTTTTCTTAAGCAACTTTCCCTGTCAGAATTCATCTTGTCCAGTAAGAAATTAAATCAGATTATTAATATTAGTGGTTGGACTCAATGATCTTGGAGGTCTTTTCCAATCTAAATGATCCTATGATTTTCTAAATAAAGAAAGGTAACAGAAGGAATAAATCTTATTGTTACTGAACTTCTTGGTTGGAGATCTGTTTGCACAGGCTTATAAAAAGCTCTTTGAGACCAATTCCCATTATCACAGGTTGCCCAGAGAAGCTGTGGCTGCCCCATCCCTGGAATTGTTCAAGGCCAGGTTGGACAGGGCTTGGAGTAACCTGGTCTAGTGGAAGGTGGTGGAATGAGATGAGTTTTAAGATCCCTTCCAACCCAATCCATTCCATGATTCTATAATCATGGGTTGCTCTGATCCGTCAAACTTCTAAAAAATATTTCAACTCCAATCTTAAAGTGAGCTAAATTTTTGCAAGGGAGATGCAG